ATGGCGGTCCAAGAACCGAGCTGCCGTGGGAACATAGTCACGGGGTTTGGCCTTACATCGAGGGTTATCGCCTTGAGCAGTGGAGAGAGGAGGCCCAGGGCTGCTATAGTGGTTAATAACCCAAACCTCGATGTGATGGATCTGAGGCAACATACTATGGCGGATTCCGTCGCTTGCTATTTCAAGTGTGGTAATGTAGCTTTTACGTTAGTATCAGCCTACCTACCTGATAGCAACGATATTGACGAAGACATATCCGCTATGGAGATGATCACGGCTACCACCAGAAATGTGATCATATGCTCAGATACCAACTCCTGGAACACGGTCTGGGGATCCAATCAAACGAATAGAAGAGGCGCAAAGCTAGGCGAATTTATTTCGCGGAACCAGTTAGTAGTATTAAACAATCCCTCTGCTACCCCTACGTTCTCTAGCGCTAGGGGGCAGAGTTGGATTGACGTTACACTTGCAACGCCATTAATAGCCAATCGCATCGTTGATTGGACCCTCCGATCTGAGACGAGTTCCGACCACCAAGCGATATCCTTCAGGCTGGTGGAAAATTCAGAAAGTTCCCACGGTACTGCCAAGGGTTATCTAACCCGAAGGGCAGATTGGAATGCCTTCCGGTCGACGCTGGAGGGAAAATTGGTAGATGATGAATGGGATGAAGCGGAAATAGAACAGACTGATGACCTGGATTACAGGGTGTCTAGGATCACTAATATTGTCTGTGATGCCGCTGAGGAATCCCTTCAGCACCGGAAGGCGAAAGCTCGACCTGTTCCATGGTGGACGCCGGCCTTAACAAACCTTAAGAGAGAGCTCTACAAGGCACGGCGGTTGTATCAGAGGTGTAGTTGCGACGAGAGGCGCTCTACACTCCGTGATCAGTACAAGTCCAAGGCCCGGGTGTACCGAAACGAGGTGCGTTCACAGAAGAAAAAGTCCTGGGATGAGTTCATTGTTGAAGAGTCCACGAAGAATCCCTGGGGTATTCCTTATAGGGTAGCCATGGGGAAGTTTAGTACGCAGCAAACATTGGCAGCCCTCAAGCACGGAGACGTTCAGGCAACCAACTTCGAGGAGGCAGCCGAAATCTTCATTGCGAGGACGTACCCCAGGGATGATCCGTCTCAAGACAGCGATGAGGAAAACTTCGTGAGACGCACCACGGCATACCCACCGGATACGGACTTGTGCCCACGATGGGACATATATGATCTCCGTATTGCTGTGGATAAGCAGAAAATCGGTCGTGCTCCAGGACTCGATGCTATAGATGCGGCGATCCTAAAGAGTAGTATTCCCTACATTGATGAGAGACTTTTGGGAATATATAATGATTGTCTGGAGAGGGGATACTTTCCCAAAACCTGGAAGATCGCCGATTTGAGACTCCTCTACAAGGGAGGGAATAGGGATAAACAGCTCCCCAAGTCCTATAGACCAATATGCCTCCTCCCTGTGATGAGCAAGGTCCTGGAGAACCTTATCATGACCAGTCTAGCACCAGTTCTTGCCAGAGCAAGTCATCCACGGCAATACGGCTCCACTAAGGGGAAGGGAACCGCTGATGCCCTGCTGAGAGTACGTGAAGACGTTGAACTGAGGACGGAGCGGTATGTCATGTTGATGCTATTCGACATATCCTCCGCCTTCGACAGCGTCTGGTGGCCTCTTGTGCTCCAGCAGCTGCAGAAATATGATGCTCCCAGTAACTTATATGCCTTGATAAGAAGCTACTTACAGGATAGACGTGTTAAGGTTCGTGGCAGTTCTTATGAGACTGAAGCTTTCATAGAGAGGGGATGTCCTCAAGGATCGGTACTTGGTCCAGCTTTATGGAAGCTCGTTTTTGATGAGTTATTGGGAGTGTTAGAAGAACAGCGGTTCCCTGCCACTGGATACGTTGACGATTTGGCAGTAGTGGTGGCCTCCAATAGCATAGCCGGCTTAAGACAAGAAGCGGAACGATGCGCCAACTTGGTCGGAGAATGGTGCGAGAGGAAAAAGTTATCAATGGCCGCTTCAAAGACTCATACAATTGTCATGAAAGGGAAAACTGACAGGGCTCACCCTATTAACATAACGGTTCAAGGTTCGAGAATACGTCCAAGTGAGGTGGTCACTTATCTAGGCGTAAAATTTGGGAAAAAATTCAGCGTTACCCCTCACTTGGACTATCTTAAAAACAGGGTGGCCCTATCTTTGAACGGTCTCAGTCGGGTTGGGGGCGCTTTCTGGGGCCTCAGATACCCAGCAACCTTAACAATTTATAAGGGAGTGATTCTGGGTATCATGAAGTACGCGTCTCCCGCCTGGAACCAGAACCTCTCGCACCGACAGAAGAGTAAGTTGGCGACAATACAGCGAACGGCATTGTTGCGGGTCACCAGGTCGTATCGAAGCGTATCCCATGAGGCGGTGCAGGTATTAGCAGGAGGGGTACCTCTCGACCTTCTCCTGCGAGAAGATATGATGAGGCACATATTTAAGAAAAACGGCTCAGCAGGTCTACCGGAACATCTTAAGGTGAGAATTGACGAGAATCCTTGCAAATGGAAAAACATTATACGGGACGACACATTGGAGGAATGGAACCGGCGATGGGTGATAACCCCCAAAGGATCTACCTTGAGGAAGTACTTCCCCACCGTCCGGTCACGTTTAAAAGCAAGGTGGATCGTCCCAGACTATTGGATCTCGCAATTTCTCACAGGCCATGGGGGCTTTCGAGCAAAGCTTCATTGCCATGGGATGGACATCGACCCCCTATGCCCTAGCTGCGGTGTTCCGGAGACTGCTGAGCACATCATAGTGGACTGCACCGCCTTTGAAGAACTAAGGGCTAAGTTACTGAGGGAAACCGGTCTCTACATTCTCACAGAGAACGATTTTCCTCAGTTAGTCACTGCGGAAAACTACCCGTACTACAAAGATTTTGTGTACGGGTGGAAAGTCGCGGTGGGGCCAGCCCATTTTAATTTAAGAAGAGGAGGAAGAGGTACTATACCATTGGCGTGAAACGGATGAGGAAAGCACCCATGAAGAAAGAGGAAAAATGAAGAAGAGCAGAAAGAGCAGAAGAACGAGATTCATTTGCAGCAGTGAGATGTTGAGCTGACCTGCCTAACATCTTACTATTGCAGACACCCGTATTGCCTACTAGGCACGGCAGGGTTGATAAATAAATAAATAAATAAATAAATAATAAATAATTAAAATCATGGTGTAGAATTTTGTTGGTTATATAGAATGGAGCATCAACTATTGTTCGAAAGACATTAGATTGAAAGGATTGAAATTGGGAATTAATTGAGAAAAATCATTTAAATGATAGTTTCTCTACAGAACAAAAAATAGATAAGATCATCGAATCCCAAATAATATTAACAAATCTACGCTTTTTTACTAACTCAATTAGGAAAGAAAAGTATCGTAATCTGATAGAATTGTACATGTGCGATTTTCAATTTGTTTTCTTTCCTATTGCTAATAGTATTGTTGTATTCAGATCAAATATTTGAACTAGTAATTATGTTCAACTTAAAAGACTCAGAATCAAAAAATGTGGAGTTTCCAATAAAAAACTTTAAGATTCATCACGTGTTCACCCTGGCAAGTCAGTAACAAAACATTACATACAAACTCCTACATATCCATGATACAAGATCACTTTTGGACATAATATAAAAAAATTCATGGCAAACCTCATAGACATACCAACAAACTTACACAAAACATGGCCAATACAAATACACCAGGAGATACCTAACGAAGGAAGAAAAATAGCTGGTATTTTTTTTCCCATGGTTACCGACCTCCTTAATGCCTGACATGCTAATTGTATATTACATCTCATGATAGTGCAATATCTCATCCTCTTATCGTAGCAGCGTGAATGTCAAATGTGGATATAAAAATGTAAAAAGAAGAGAAAAAAGTATCCAGATTTGTTAATTATATTATATTGCACAGTTCACAATGAAAACCCGTTTGCAATTTTTTTTCGTAATTCGTAATTTCAAATGACCGTCTTTTACCGTATTTTATATGAGGCCTCTCATTTGTAAAATAAATAAAAGCTAACAAAAAAAATCAAATAGTATTTTTAAAATTAATTTATCAGTACAATATTTATACGGTCATGTCTCTCGTTAAAAGCTTTGTACAATAACTTTAATTAGATGCTTCGTGTTTCAACCATAAACGCAGATTTCGGAGAAACGACGGGGACGATCGCGCCCATAATTTGAAGAAAATAAAAATAAAATTGATAACAAATTAAATTTATTGAAGGATAAAATATATAAACTAAAATCGATTAAGAAAATAGAAAAGTCGACTAGCTAAGGTGTACAAGCAGGTACGTAAATATTTTATCAGGACCTAAAAATTTCTATTATTTAAATTTTCATTCATAGTCAGGAATAATGATATAGGAAAAGATCGTTATAAAATATATTTATAAGTACAAGTATAAATATATTTTATAGAGAATGTTTTTATAGACATTGTTATGTAGTCAGAACCTAAAAACGTTTTATTTTTATTTTGACGTTGTATAAACTAAGAAATCAAAATTTTTCAGTTTTTAATATTATTCTTTTTTAGGTGAAAAAGTTCTAGAAATGTATCTATGTTATGGAAACTACCCCCTCTTCTCAACCCCTCCCTCCCTTCCTCTCATGTCTAATGTATACGAATTGTAATATATCAATTTTTTTTGTCCAAATATTTTCAATTATATCCAAAAGCACATACAAAAATCTATAATTGGCTAATATAGGTTTATTTAATTTTATAAACCTATATTATATTTATTTTTAGATATGCAATATTGTATTTGTTGAATGTTGAATCCAACAATTATATTGAATTTTATGTATTTTTTTTTTTTTTGGTCGATTCTTCCCCTCTCTCCGCTCCCTGCCCCAAGCATGATGAATTGGTTTTTATTTTTTAAAAAATTATTAACTGCTGGTTTATATATTGTGTAATAATTTTATCATATGTTTCCAATTCATATTTAGATTATAGATAACCAATCTTTTGATAACCATCGTTGAAATTCATATCTCATTTTTTTTTTAACAATTTGTATTTTTCACAATTTTTTTTCACGAAATTTATTTGTGTTACATCTTTCCAATACTATAATATAATTTTGAAAAACGAACACAAAAAATACTACACGAAGCCCTAAATCCCTGATCGCTGATTAGAGTAACGCAGGTTAGGTGTGCCCACTTACTGCAGGCCTTGGACACCCGAGTGGGGAAGTGATCCAACTTCGGCGAAGAGATCATTAGCGAAATGGTTTACATTCAATTCCTTGTAAGTATAATACTGGACTAATCATTGCTCAGTAATGATTATTACCTTTTGATTTGATTCACTCACTTGAGTATAATTTGTTGGCTAGTTTGTTGTCTTAGTCTTCGTCCTCTGCCATGGCCTGAAGGATGGATTGACCAGGATCAAGAAGCAGACCCTCTTCGGTGGATATCCCTCCACTTTCGCGACGCCCCTATCTTACACAATACGACCTCCTTACCCTATCATCAGCGATTCCTAAATGGTTCCACATTTCTGTCTACGTCTACGTATCTATGTCTACGTCTTCAATATTGTTTCTTTATGTGTAAAATTACAAAATAAAATGTCCCTAACTGTTTATTATTTGCTGTATATTATTAATAATGTTTAAATATATCTGACATAATTATAAAGAGTAATGTGAATTAAGAGCGCTCCAGACTATACATTGAATATTATACTATAAATAAGTGTATCGTTTGTATTTTTGAGAGGAGCGGAGTACCTCAATGGTAGGGCACTAAGCTTCCAATGCTCAATGACCCAGGTTCGAATCATCTCTCAGCTCATGGCAGAAAAAATGTGTTTCATTGGCCGTGAGGCGACCTTGGGATAGACCCCTGAGACCCTCCTAGGGCACACCCTACCTCTATAAAGTAGGTATCCTTAATTAAATAATTGATTAAGGCGGAAAACCTGGCGGTTGAGCGTGATCCTGACTCGATATCCTCCCTGCACAACCGCTAGCCGTGAAATAGTGCTTTCCCTAAATAGAACCCAAGACCCTTCATGGGTTGTAGTGGTACATTTTTGTTTAAAATGTACTCGGAAACTGGATTAATATATACATATCTGTATCCTGGAAGTAAAGTACACCATATCCAATTTTGCATTTGTTTTGGGGAGCTGATGTTCCATAATTTTGAGCTTCTAGTTTTATTTATTTATTAAGAAGCTCTACAGTCCTTATTGGACCTTGGCCTCAGAAACAAGCTTCCGCCAGGCTTCCTATCGGCAGCTATTCTTCTCCATCTTCTTATACCCATACGGCTGATGTCTTCTTCTACATCGTCGATCCACCGTAGCCGGGGTCTTCCTCTAATACGCGGCCCTCCTAGGCGGTTAGAGAGAAGTTTTCTTGGCAATCTATGTCCCTCCACCCTCTCTACATGGCCAAGCCATCTGGAGAGGTGCCGTTCGAGCCACTAGTTACGAAATATGTATTCCATAGATAAAAGATTTCATATCACATGTTTGTAAATACATGTGTTCAGGGATCTAATTTTCCACAGCTATGAGCTATTAAAATTTGTTTCTTTGTTATAAAATTATTAAATAAAAAAGTGGACACAGTTTCATTTACCGTGCGGCGACCCTGGGATTGGAAGACCCTCATGGGACACACCCAGCCTCTATAAAGTGGTTATCCTTAATTAAATAATTGATTAAGAATTGGAAAAATCTGGTGGTTGAGCGTGATCCTGGCCCGATCCCAGCCCTGCACAACCGCTAGCCTTGAAATATTACTTTCCCTTACTTCCAAGACCCTTCATGAGTCATAGTGGTACAGGATTTATTTTATTTTTTTTTTAATATTTTTGAAATTAGTTTTTTTCTTTATATTTATTCATTCTTTATATTTATTTACTTATTTTTTACTATATTTAAAATTTATCCAATCGTACAATGAAAAGTTGATAAATTATTTTTATATGTTACCTATTTTTACAACTATGGGTGAACCCACTGTCCGCCTAACGGTGTAACAACCTCCATTTTACAAATTAAGCAAATGATTCTTTAATTGGCCTACTCGTTGCTCAAATTGTACAACTATAATGGGCAATTGTTCTGTAATTCAGAAATTTTTTTACAACATAAATTAAACGGAACGAAACCAAAGTTCGGACAAATTTTTAATTTATTTAAAAATATGAAATATATACATCGCTTCTAATTGCCAATTAATATTATTATATGTGTCTTTCAGTCGACAGAATGACTAATTCCAATTTAAATATTTTGGACTATAGTCATTTTAGTAATATTTCTAGTTGGAAAACTTATTACATCTGTACTGACAGTGAGTAAGATTGGCTCCAGAGTAGGTGATTGCAGTTTTGAAATATAGAAATATGAATAAAGCTAAAACTATAGAAATATCACTAAAATTAATAATAAAAAATGTTGAAATTGGAGTTAGTCATTCTGTCAACTGAAAGGATTATATGATTATAATTATTCTGATTGCCAATTTGCAATCATAATAAGGGGAAAATAAGTCTGGGAATAAGAAGTGTGTTGTCTTCGTAACGGTCCTTCCTGCTTTGTATGTGTAAAATAAAATATGACACGACCACTATAACTTGTTTTTATATATTAGAGATATAAGTCTAAGAATACATTTTTACAATGGTTAAATTAAATGAATAATTTCTATAACTTTTATGAATTAAATTAAATTTTGTCTTCATCATCTGCAAATGCTCGGATCATTTTGGAAGTCATAATGTATATAACCCAGCTGTCGGAGTAAATTCTTCAAGTTGTTGCAATGTGGTTTTGTGTAAGTGATGTCCATTTTCCATGTTCTATTTTCAGTCTTTTCAAGATGGTTTCTTTTGATATGCGCTTTCTTAAAGAGCTTTTCGATGGTAGTCTGTCTTTTTAAATCACCATTAACTTGTTTGTTGATTGATTCCACTTTATTGACCATTGTTCTTCCCTATAGATGTGTATGTCAGGAAATATTAAAAACAAAAACATAAATAAAAAAATGAAATCAATCAACCCTTATTGTTTCAGTTGTTCTCTAACACTTAGTGTTTTGTTTTTTACAATAACATCTCCAATCACCAGTAATGGCCACATTAATTATTTTATTCCCGTCTGTTTTTTCTTTGACTGAGTCTGCAGTTCTTTCTGCAGCCATATTTTCGGATATATGACAATGGAAGGATATGTATGTGAACATGATATATCTATGCGGCGTTTCCTATATCTCCTAGAGACAATTTTTTCATTTTTCTGGAAATAGCATTCGTAACCTTCTTATGATTGAACTTAAAGAGTTCCGTAGCCATATGAGCGTGCTTTATGTTGTTATATTTTATTGTATTGTTGTCGTCCAATTTATTGTGTTATTATTTTTGGACAATAAAAATACACTTACTCATCACAAAAGCAATAAAAACACTTAATAAGGTCCCGATCTTTCCTTAAAAAGATTTTATGGTAATTTGTTTAATTATTAAACGTGCAATATACCAGTTGGGATATAATTAAGGCAACCATAATTTTAATAATCAGACATCATTGTTTGGGTGCGCAAATGTCTAAGGCCGGCACTGACCTTATAAGATAAATGAAAAATAATAAACGACGAAGAAACGCGTTATCAGTACCAGTGACTCAAATCATTAATACAGAATTATTTAAAAAAAATTAAATCATATAATCATTTATAAATAGTGATGTAGCTCATTGTGTAATACACTATGCTCCTATTCTCCGTGGTTAGTATTTATTTATTATGTTAATCAGCCGTGGATCAATCCCGGAGCTGGAAGACCCTCGTGTGGCATGCTCAGCCTCTACACAGTGAGCAGTCTTGCTTATTTATTTTTAGTTCTGTAGGCAATATTAGAGAAGTAGTTATAATGAAAAATCAAGCAAATATACTTAGTAATTAATTCCATATCCTATAAATATTTATTTCTACTGAGTTTGATTTCAAATCAATTTAGAATTTAAGTGAGTTAAGAGGTTAAGTTTTTATTTATACATAATAAAACATGATAGCACGAACGTCTTTATAATGTTGGCGATCCTTTGAAATGAATTTTTGAGGATTTCTGGCAGTAATTTTAATATTTTTATTTCACGTATCTCTCTGATTAAAACGAATTTGTTGTAATTTTTTCTATAATTTTTAATGTGTGATTGTGAGCCCAGGTATATTGAAGTTTTTTTTTCTTTTTCTTTATCGCCTATATATTTTATGAAAAAATATTGAAAGACTATTAATTAACGTGTCTAAATTTGAAACTATTTAAGTTATATTAATGACGAATTTATCCCTTTTTTTTTACTTCTAATTTCTTTTCTATTATAAATTCTTATTTCCATTATTTGATGTAGATAGTATAAAAAGAATATCCACTTTCATGTTAATTGCTAACCCTTTTAAAAATTGTGAATATGATGGTTGGTTGAGCATTGCGTTGATACCTTCAATACAACATTTAAAAACATGTAACTTGTAGAAATCTGATACAAAATAAAATATTCGTAAAGGAATTCATAAAAAAAGTAATAATATAACGATAGGGCAGATAATTTATTGTTGGTACATTGTGACATGGTGCATGGTTGGGGTTTGGGATTAAAGTATCTTCTTATGCCCAGTAGCTGTATCCATAAGTGAGAGGAGCGGAATAGGCTGAGTATGCAAGTGGTGCGGTGTAAGCATATGGGTATCCTCCGAGCAGGACCTGCTTCTTGGTCCTCACGAGTTCTTCAGGAGCCGGCATGGCGAAGACGCAGGCCATGGCCAGAGCGAAGAAGAACTAGAAGCAGAAGACAACATAATTAATCAATTAATCAATTATTTAATGAATAATTGAAAAAAAGAGATAAACAGAGAGAAGTGAGAGAAAGGGAAACTAAATGTTAAAAAAAAAAAGCATGAACAATGAAAGGAAGGAAAAAGGAAAAAAAAAATGGAAAAAAATAAAATAATATATATATATATATATATATATATATATATATATATATATATTACTAATATTAAATAATACTTCTGTATATTTATATATAAGTTCATATATTGTCCTAAGGATAGAAGAGTATGTTGTGTATATAGCAACCCAATATAATTGGGCAGCAATCCTTTATATTTTATGAAAATAAAGTGTTTCTCTCTTTGAGAAATTCGGGATGTGAAAAATGATACTTCAGGTTTCTACAATGTGGTATTGAATAAGTAACTGGTGTATGCAATCAATAACTAATATTATTGAAAGAATTTTAGGATCATGCCATATCCTGAATAGTGTTGTCCAATTGCGAGAGCGAGACGAGTCTTAGTCTTGCAAACTCAGTCTTGGTCTTAATCTTGCGCAAGAGACTCGCAACAGTCTTGCAGTTACTTATTAGCTTATTAATATAGAGATATCACTGTAGTTTTTTAGATAGGAGAAACCTAAGTAAGCCCGAATGAAAAATTAGAGGAGTTTATTGCAAAAGTATATTTTGCCTTAATTTTTATTTTAAAAATCGATTTTGTTTACCAGTCCTGATCTTGGTCTTGCAACAGTTAGGCGGCCTTGGTCTTGGTCTTGCAAAGTGCAAGACCAAGCCAATTTTAGGCTGCACTAATCCTGAATTGTAAAGAGCTTAGTTGTTTTTTGTTAAAAATAAAAAGAGAGAAGAGAGAGGGAGAGAAAGAAAGAGAGTAAATAGTCCATTCAAAAATAATAAATAACAAATCACTTTGATAAATTAATATTAATTAATTATTCAATATGAAGTAATTCATAATTAATCATAATTTTTTCCATTATATATATATATATATATTTTTTTTTTTGTTATTTACTAAAACTCGCAAATTGGTTGGAAAATCAATTTTTTAAAGATAAGACAGAAATTTACTGATAGTATACATCAAATTCTTAGGATTCAATAATAATTTTAAAAGTTTTTTTCTGATGTTTCAGCTGTCAATCATCAGTTGGTTCAGTTGTTTATAGGGAGAGTAGTCCTATTTCTCAATTTTGAAAATAGGTAAATTTAAATTTAATTCTACTACATATGCAAATCTCTAAATATTTGTATGTCAATATGCCAAATTATTCATAATGTACTGACCGCTTGGGAGATTATGGCAATTCCTATAACACTAAATATTATTTTTAGAGCATCAAGTTATACGAACGACTTTAAACTAACGACTGAAAATACTATACTCCCTTTTTTTCAAATCAAAATTGGAAATCAGGCAAAAACTAAATATGTACACTTACCACCTACCCAAACCCATATGGGTATACGCCTCACAAATTTACGGTTCTGCAAAAAAGACTCACTTACAAAAACTACAATCATTTCAATCCAAAATTTTAAGACTGATAAAAGCAGCTCCATAGTGCGTAAACAACAAAACTTTACGTACCGACTTAGAACAACCAACTATCGACCAACACATACGTACTCTCTATTCCCGATTTCAACTTAAACTACATGGACGTCACAACGGACTTATCAAAGACATCGCCACAGCTGACATCCCCATCAGGAGACGACTAAAGAGGAGCTGGATGAGAGATCTCCTTTCTTAAATTATGAAGTAGACCAAGACCAGGAAGAGGTACTGCTGGGTACTAATGTTACTCATGCATTAAATGCCAATTTTCTATACAATGAGATCATTATTATTGGTTTATGAGATCATTATCATTACTGTTTATTGTCAATACTATGACAGGTGTGGATAGAAGTATGAAGAGAGAAAAAAAAAGTTATACTCTGTCACCGTAGACTTAACGAATATCTTTAAATTAATTGGCAGATGGAAAAATAAACTTTTTAAATTTTATTTAAATACTCACAAGGAATTTGATGGAAACCATTGTAAGATATGTGTTCACTTCTGCAGAGTAGAACTGATGCTACTCCTGGTGGACCAAGAAGCTTTTATAGAGGACTGAATATTGTCCTTGGTGGCACACAGGCAGGCACACCCCTTGCCTAATACTTCATGGCCTGGCAAGTATATGATCTTGGGCTTCACTTAATGTAATCAGTTTACTGGGCTTAATCTTAAAATAAAAAAAGTGGTATTTCTTTCGGCCTCTTACCCAAAGCCAGAAACTCGATAGTTATGAAAATAAATGTTCTGCAAAATGTTAAACTAAATATTTTTTCGATGTCTTCGGTCATTTATAGGTTATTGGGCCTAATCAATAAAATAATAGTACATGTAAAATATATATGTTTTAGGTTTAAAAAAATAATGGAAAAACTATTTTATTTGAGGAAACGTTTCGTACCGACTTCGCAGTTCTTCTTCAGGGAGATGCATTTATAGCAAGGAGTTTCAGGTGAAACTATATTTTAGAGGAATGAGATGGTGCGGGGTGGCAGTCATAAAGAGACTACAATAGTGGAAAAACTCCTTGCTGAATGCACCTCCATGAAGAAGACCTACAAAATTGGATCGAAAAGTTGGCTTCAAATAAAATAGCTTTTCCACTATTTTAGTCTAAAAAACAAATAAAATTAATTAATAACAATTTTTTTTCTTTAAATCAAATCAATAGAAAAAATATATAGAAAGGAAATGATTAAGATACCAGAAACATAGAAAATGTACCACAAACGATTATATATATATATATATATATATATATATATATATATATATATATATATATATATATATATATATATATATATATATATATATATATATACATACACAAATTTACTTGGTGCAATTTACGATATTCCGGTACGTTACTTTATTACATGTTTTGATTTTATTTCATAAATTTTGTTGAATTTCCGATAGTATATTTTATAATTAAAATATCACTTATACTATGTTACTATATTTTTTTTTTCATTTTATATCTTTTAACTTTGTAATTTTATTTTTTTTACGTTACATATTTATGATTTTTTTTAGCCAACGGCAGTGGCGTTAAATAAAAAAAAAAAGATTTTTATTTAGATATTGCATACTTTTTATCAGTCGTTTGTTTCCCAGGTCAGTGATTTGATTGTAACCTTTCCTTGTTGTTTTACCATACCTTGCTGCTATTTTCTGTCCTGATGAATTCTCAATTGGCGAAACGTTGACGGTTTTTTTTTCTTTGTCTGCATTTTGGAAACATAAGGCTGTAGGGTTTGGATTTTTTTTTAATTATAAGCTAAAATTTATGTTCTGTCCCTCGGTTAGTTTGTTATTAATTGATATCAAAATATTACTAATAATGCTAATAGTCATATTCTTCTCGGCAGAAAACTCACTGATCGTCAATATTTTTGAGAGGTGTGGGTTATGAAATAAATATATCAAAAATAAAATAAAACAAAATTGGGACATACAAAATAATGTGTATTTTCTTTTTATTTAAAGATAACTTTATAATGAGCCAATAGAGCTTTAATGATTCACGTGAAGCGGAGTTTTAATGATATTATAATAAATGAATGTTAGAAGTTAAAAAGATATTTAATTCTTGAAAAAAAAAACACTTTAGGACGTCATTTAATGTTTATTGGATTTAACGCCTTTATTTATTACAGCTATAAAGTGTTGTATGAGTGTGTATTTTTTAATATTGTTCCAGTAACTTTACTTGACGTCCCAGTGAAATCAGTCGTAATAAACAAACAAGACTCGTTGAAAATAACGGCTTCCATCTAATGCCAAGGCCTGGGGCTGGCAGCCATCCTATAATTTTGTGTTATTCCTTCCATATATCTGCTCTGATTGAAACAAAAAAAATAAATCCATAAATTTGCATATCAATTGCTCTTTGATGGCATACCAAGCTGCTCTTTAATTTTCCGAAATCGGTCTGAAAAATGACCAAAAAGAGAATAACAGGATTGATTTTACCATTGTGTTTTAGCTCTCCTTAAGTGACCTCGTTTTAAAATAACGCATTACATTTCCAGTTCCAATAGATTATTTTGTAAAGTTGTTTTGATTAAAATTATATTAACTGGCAAATAAAATTCAATGATTAATATTGATATCCAGTTGAGGTACTACCATGCCAAAAGCATATGAGATAGCTGAACATGGTTACACTTATTGTTTGCCCTATTTTATATGAACATTATAATAGTAATAATAAATGACTTAGCGAACCCGAAGGTTCGACACCACCAATCGCTTTTTACTTACTTCCCTCGACCCGTCGCTGTCCAAATAAATAATAGATAAATAGAGAGAGAATCACTTTATTATCATAAAAGGGTGCTGCCCAATTACATTGGGTTGCTTTAAACACAGCATACTCATTAATCGTTAAAGACAATTTTCCAAAACTAATATACAATTATATAGTATTAATATGTATGAGCATAGTATACAATTTTTTTTTTATCTATATATTTTTTATTATGATTTTTTTTTATTATTATCTTTTTTAAATATTTCTTTCATTCATTTATTAGCATTATACATCCCTTTCTGTTCCTTCTCTCCCTTTTACATTTTTCTCATTCCCTAGATTTTCTCCTCTCTTTTCCTAACCTAATTCATAACATGCATACAAATACATAAAGTGCAGGACGTGGTCAATAAATAATGTAAAAATGCTGTAAAACACGCATGCCTCTCCCCATGAACAAACTCTCTCCCTATCGATGCACATGGTGATGGATAATTCCCAGGGAGTCGAGGATTATATTCTCCGCCAACCCCCCTCCTTGTTGAGTTCGGTATCGTTCTGAGAGGTCCGAACCAAAGGCCTCTCACGTGAAATTCTCTCGGCCCGAAACTCTCGCGGAACTTTTTACTAAGTAAAGGAATGCATTTCTCATAGGTCTTTATTTTCTCTCTTTCCACTTTGCCTGCCTGATCGAGGTCATTTGTCACATACCTCATGGTAGGATCCAAAATCATCGCCGACTTTCCCGTCTTAGGGAATATCGGCATATCGGGTGGATCAATCCGTATCTATACAATAATAAATAATAGCCAGTCCCTTCAGATCGGCTTTAACACAATCTACCCACCCTTTGCTTTGGTCTACTCCTCGGACGTTTACCATTAGATACAGCAAATATTAACCTTCTTCCGTTACTACAGGACTATTTGTGGTGTATAAGTGAACTTAGATATGTGAGTAGGCCATCCTATCCTACGGCACCCACTCCAGCAAGTCTGAAGGACCCCTCTCAAATTCACTCTCCACAAAATATCCATTAACGCTATCCACAAACGCGCCTAAAGTTGTATTCGCTGTAAAAAATAACAGTCCAAAAATGAGTTGTATATTTTTAAGGAGTATGCTAAGCAAACTCCTCCAGAATTCATCATATTCAGGAAGACAACAAAATCTAAAAGGAATATTTCATTGTTATTACTCCATCTTCATAAATAATAAATGATGAATCGAAAGTTATATCGGAAAGTTTTCTCTTTTTTTTTTCAATATTAGCAGAGAGAGGAGGAGAGAAAAAGGCTTTTTAAAATTCAAGAGCGTCGGCTGTGGAGTTATAAGCTAAACTCCGCTCTTAGATTCAAGTAATAAAGTTTTTATAACGTGGATATCGCGCAAGCCTATCTTCTCTCGGCTTATTCCAGAGAAATCTTTAGGTAGACTTTGATATTTACGTCATTTTATAGAAAAAAATATAATTAAAATTAAACATCCCCTTTAAGGGTTCCTTCCTATCTTTTGAAGAATATTCAATATAATTCAGTCCACTTATTCAGTTTTTCTCTTTCCGGAGTTTATTAAATCTTTTATATCACTTTATAGCACTTTCATTAAAATATAAAAATAGATTATTGAAATAACGATACAATTAAGCGATTCAATAAGAATAATTCTAGGATCAGAGGTGCCCATTTTGACGAGGTTGTGAATTTTCGGAACGTACCATATTTTTGTAGAATTTCAATTATGGGAGGTACTTTCAACCAGGGAGTGAACAGTGACGAACATATGGAATACATTATCAACAATTTTTCTGATGTTACTTTCTCTTCTGTGAAGAAGGGGAGAGCAATACAATTTCTTTGAAAGGAAGCATGCGCCGTCGAACTTGGACTGGATGGGCACTCCTGATTATCATAATTATTACAATAATGAAACTCAAATACAAACCTACATACACACATCACATAAGATAGATAGAAAAAAAACTTTTCTCTGTGACTAAGCCCCTTTAGAATAATAAAATTTTACAAAAAGAAAAGAATACTACTGGCCTGAAAATTTGAAACAATAAATAAAATTTAAAATAATAAACTGAAAAGTAAAGAAAACATTAGGTGAACAAGTTACATACAATACAGATAAAACTATGTAGAAAACGCTGCAAATTATTTCACAATGGTTTATTATTTCCAAACAATTATACATCTAACGTAACATTACCTTCCCAGTTACAAAGAAAAAAAAACAAGAGGTGATTCCAATTATTGGACTAAACTGTATTTCTTTAGTCATTAGTAATATGCTAAAAAAAATAGCATTAGTTCAGTAACACATTTAAAATTTAAAAACCAAACCAAGGATATAACTTTTGGGGTAGAACACATAAAAAAAAACACCGGAGACCATATCTTTGCTCCTAATTGTCCGATTTTAACGATTCTTTCTTTGTTTTTTAGGAAATTTCGTAAACCTATGAAAAACCATGAGCTTTGATTTCGATGAAACTTCCTTCATTTTTTAGGAAATTTAAATACCTTTGAAACATCTCACAATATCAACAAAAAAGTAAAAACTTTTCGAGTTATTCGGAATTTAATTTTACCATCCCTCGTAACTTTTTTTCCAGCTTCTTTTCGTTGAAGTATGTTATATAGATAAATTTAAAAAGCGTCGAGAAAATGACTTTAGCGAAGTTTCATTGAAATCTGTTCATTCGTTTAGTAGCTACAGTCTATAGCAACGCAGGTTTTTCGGCCGCCATTTTGAAAGTTAAAGGCGGAGAGTAATGTGAAGGAGAATCATCCTCGGGTGATTTCTGATATTATATCAAAATTTGAAAAAAAATCGGTCCAGTAGTTTCGGAGAAAATGCGCGGACGGCGTACGGCGGACGGCGGACGGACAAAAAAAATTGTATTCGTTTTTTCGAATCCTACGCGTCTTGAAACGTGAAACCTCAAATCTTGAGAGGGGGTTATGTTTTTAATTTTTTGGTCGATCACAATGTTTCATTATTGAAAATAATAAACCAAAACACTTAAAACTATGAACAAATCACTTAAAATTGTGAACAAAACTATATTTAAGGCTGAACAGCATAAACATACATTTTAAGAAATGAAGAACATACACTTTACTTGTACATATATATGTATATAAAAAGTTAGTTATAATTGAATAAAAAAAAAAGCATACAGTATAAGATGATTCCAAAACAGTGTAAGATATCCTCATTAATTATCATTTCTAAAATAATGTCTCTCTAAGAATCAATTTAACATCACAAAATATGGTACAAAACACAGATATGGAATCTGCATATGGCTTTTATGACGTAGCTTGTGAAATAATCAATATTTAATTTTTTAGGTTATGAAAATTTGAAATTCAGTTGAATTTGTAGTTGAATACATATCTAGGATTAAGGAACCTATTATCGACATATTACCAATTATTGACACCTCTAACTTAAATTTGATAAAAAAAGCGTTTAAGTTCATGTATCATTTCAAATTTGTCACCATACCGGAGGCACATTAATCAGTCTGTATTTACTTATTAATAGAAATAGAAATTAATTCCGTGTCATCAAATATACAACCTGCATATGCGACACTTTTTCGCATTTTAGTATTCCTTGATGAACAAAACTCGTGGATATATGTAGAGGCATTACTGAATTTTCGGAAAAAGCTTCTCGCAGAGATTTTATTCTATATGCAAACGGTGAGGAAGCAATTTTGTTTCACTTAGAGATTGCACAAGCCCATATTTCACCTATCAATAAATATATTTACAAGTTATAAAGTGTTTTGGTCCTACTATACCAGAAACTAAATCATTATATCATGTTATATTATACTTATGTATGTGTTTTTTTAAGGAAGTGCTTATGCAGTAACATAGTGGAAATTTGGTATCAGTACTAAATAATTTTTTTTTAAGTTGAATAATATTTCCATAATTATTTTAAATCTAATTAGTTCGATTTTTTTAAAAATATTATTTATTTACTCATTGTCATTAAAATTATTACTGGTATTTCAAAAAATCTCACGTATCATAATTGACTGACAATCATTAAATTGTCTGACTTAGCATTATCGCGTTTACTTTTGTGGTATGATAATGTTAAAACTATCGACAAGGGTAACATTCTTAAATAATTACAGGAACTGATATATATATATATATATATATATATATATATATATATATATATATATATATATATATATATATTCCTCCAATCGGAGAACATTTTAAAATTCGCTACTCACTCAAACAGTATCAGTAGAAAATAAAACCTAATAAGATCTTGATAAATAGACCGATTCCAGTCGTGGAAGGTGGCAGAAAAAAAACTAGCATAGCCCTGAGACAGCCCTTGTCCGAGAAATACTATTTTCGACAAACAGCAGAAGGTTCACCATCTTTTCTTATTCAAAGTGTACATAGACGTAGATCATTTGTATGCAACTCCTGGGTATCTGCAATGGTGACCTCTGGTACGTCGGGCCATCGAATGATAAGTAGTGGTTTCGTAATTGCTGTCTCTGTAGGAGGGCTACGAGATAGTTTGAATGCGACGATACAGTAGTGTATTTTAAATAATATGAGGGTTTATTACATAAACATTCCATACATTAATACTGTTAGGACTACTCGGAGTTGAGATTCAAGACTGCGAGAAAATCGGATTAATATATCCGAAATCTTTATTAAACGTAAAATTCTCTTCTTTTTTTTTCTTCAAATCTTAATCTACAACTATTACGAATTTGATGATAAGCATATGTGTTGTAGTAAATTTGGATAATGATATTTTAGACATAAGAAAGAATCGTACCCAGAAAAACCTACCTCTTCCTGGTCTTTATTAGCTTCCTCAATTCCTTTTCGATTGCTTTCAGTTGTGACCATGTAGCTTATAAGACTATTAAATCTGGAGTACGTATGAGTTGGTTATCGTAAATTGGTAAGTAAAGTTTTGTTATTTACACAGATCAGCTGATATAAGTATTAAAATTTTGGATTGAAAAGATTTTTATTTTAGTTGTAAAATTGAAGTTTAGAAATTATAAATATTATAAATATTAAATCTTAATTAAATTATTTATTGTCTTGCTGATTTGGTCCTAAATATATATTTTCTTTATATATTCCTTGGTAGGAATAAATCGGAAATTTCTAATAAAAAAATTTGTTCCTTTTATTCATTAAGGAACAAATTTAGTTCTGTGTTGGATTCTCTGTAGCTAAATCTATCTGTGTGACGGGTATATCACCTATGACCATTATTTCGAGATTAAAAAAAAACTTTCGATTGGGCACAAAACTGGAGTAAAGTTAGAGATCAGTTGAAGCATTATTAATTACGTATCAGTTTTATCAAATCCTGTCAACTTCTTAAAAAAAAAAACTTTCGCAACGGTTCCGCTGACTTATTTTCTTTGAGCGGGCTGTATTTACAAAATAGCTCGTTCGATTTTGCCCTACTTATAAGGAACTTTGGGAAATAGTCTGCAAATTGGGTAATGTCAACTTTACTTACTTCATTTCTTTTCACTTTAGATAGTCGAATTTTCAAATATAAATAATTTCTCAAATATTTGTAATACAATTGTATTGCTTCGATCACTAGCGAGAAGTATTAAAATGTTTTTGCAGAACTAGCTCTATCTACATACTACGAAACCAGGAATTTAAATCATCCATGGAATCCCGATCCACCTGATATCGTTCTTCTGACATCTACCCTCCTCCCCACC